GTACTCAACTCCTGGTTCATCCATTTGCTTCAACATAACCATTGAGATTCCGTCAGGACCAAGCGCTTTGGATGACTTTGCGCTTCTGATGACCTGTGCAACATCTGCCAACGTAAATTGTGGTGGTACCTCCTCGGCTGGAAGGGATCGTACACGGCGTAGGATCCTTCTCTTCGCCTTGTCATTCTCGGGGTGCTCTACAAACTGCCGGTTAAAATAACACGCGCACCTCTTCGGATCTGTCACTTCTACGCCGTTAAGCGAGAGACAGATGTCCGATCTTCCTTTTTTTCCAGGGTTCTAGAGCGACTTAACCGTTGCCCACAATTTACTCGTTCCGGTACTGATGTTGCAATGCTTCAGATGTTCTAACCACTTTACTAACCTGTTTACCTCCAGGGTAAGTTCCCTGACTCGGGGGTTATTAGGGTTAGTACGGCGAAACTCATCTCGCTCGTTTGCTAATACCGCTGCCTCTGCTGGGAAATTTAGTCTTATTTCAGGTATTCGACCAGCAGGTATATTGCGAGCGGCTGCAGCTTTGATGATATCCCGGAAACACCTATCTGCTACCTGAACATCAGATGGGTTGGGCAGTTCTCTGAAGCGGCGATTGGTATACTCTCTGAATTCTTGCCAATTGGCTTTCCCGTGGTTAAGGAAAGTGCGGCGTTCAGAGTCAATGAAGTCGGGTGGTCTGTTTATGGCGATAATATTGGGGAGGTGGTCTGAGCCTAGAGAAATGACTGAATGCCAAATTACGTCATTCGTCAGACCTGGGGATACGATGGGTATGTCCGGAGAACTGTGGCAGTCGCCCCTTATTCTGGTGGGCGCGTCCTCATTTACTGTGCAAAACGTGGAGCTATCAATTTGTTCAGCCAGCGCCATGCCTCTCTGGTCATTACCTAGGACGGAATGCCATAATTCATGATGGGCATTGAAATCCCCTAGCACCAGACGGTTATTGCCTACCAGTAGTGAACTGATATTAGGCATATAACATGGGGTACCTCTATCTCGGCGGTTCCACACTTGACCGCTACCTCCATACATTCCATGTACGGGTCACTAGAGTCAAGCTCAGGCGAGATAGGTCTGTACTGGACAGAGTGGTGCAATAGGCCTGCAGGTGGTACTCAGCTTCGTTTCCTGGATCGCTGCGACCTTGATGTTCTTCCGACTCATAAAGCTTACAATTTCGTTAATCTTACCTCTGAGACCATCACAATTAAACTGGAGAAATGATGCATTATCCGGAACCTGAACAGCAATGTGTGGCGTCAACTGCTGCGTAGATTGCTGCTGAGGAGATTGCGGGGGAGTCTCATATTGCGACGACGATGAGGACGCCGAAGATGAAGACTCACTGGAGTCTACATTGACGAAGCAGGAAGCAATGTAGTCCCTATCGCTGTACTCCTGTATCCGGTTTAGGCCGGAACAATTCCGGAAATGCACCCACTCTATGCATCCGTTGCATCTCACCGAAACCGATCTGTGGTGGATACGACAAACGGAGCAGAATCATGGTCCGGAGCAAACATTCCAGGTAATGTTGCTCCCATGTCAGAAAAATGGACGAACACGAACATGTATTTGCTGGGTTGGCGGCCCCTGGTCGGAGAATTGTGCCTCCGAGTCAATCCGGTACATAGAACCGGCCACCGTGGGATTGTTTTTGTTGTTGTTTTGATCTTGTTGTTGTTGTTGCTGTAGCAGTTTTAACATGTCCCGTTGTTTGTTTCCTGACTATTCCGGTTCTTCCTCAATGTCCAGGCTTATGAATTCTGCTACCTTTATTGGCTGTAGCCATAGATCCTCTGGACAAGTTTGGTAGGTTTGGCTGGCCAATTAGACAGGTGCAGCGTATTGTGCAGGTACTGCAACGAAAGCATATAATTATGCTGACGTAAGGGAAGAACCTTCGTCTCCTCTTGTAAATGGTCCACAGGAGTCATGAGGAGGCACCCTGTTGCAGTTCTCAGGTCGGCATTCTGGCAGGTCTGAATACTTTTCCACTGCGGCTAGCACCTTGCTATCGAATGTGACCCCAAGGATTTTGGGGATGTTGGTGGTCGGAATTATGTGCCCCTCGACCTGCACATTCAGCTGTGTTCTCATCTCCGATGTCCATGTGGTAAATAGTGTGGCCGTCGATTTAGTGGCGGATATTTTCATATTCTTCGCATGGAAGAAGGCGGCAAGCTCCGCGAGATAGTTATTCACCCTGACACATATGTCATCAACTACAGGACCCGACGCCATGATCGTACAGTCATCCGCATAAGCTACGATCGGGATGCCTTCTGAAAGGCGCGTAATTCCGGAAAGGTAGAGGTTAAACAGTTCCGGAGATATCACCCCACCTTGGTGAACTCCCTGTTTCACTCTACGAGGCTTGGACTTCTTATTCCAGAATTCCACGTACGACTGGCGTCCACACATATAGTTTACTATCCAACGTTTCAAACTTGGCCGGAGGGTAGTGTTCTCAACGTCCTCGAACAGCGTGGCATGGTTGACCGTATCAAAGGCCTTTGATAGGTCGAGAGCCACCACTACTGTTCTGTGGCACGGCCTGTTCTGGTTGAGTCCTCGACTGATATGTGTGGAAATGGCGTATAATGCTGTTGTGGTACTATGTTGTGGACGGAATCCGTGCTCGTGGTTGGCAACTGTATAGCTTCCTCTAATGCTGAGGAGGAGTAAATCCTCAAGAGTCTTAGCTACTGGCGATAAAAGCGAAATTGGCCTGTATGATTCGCCTTTGCTGGCATCCTTGCCAGGCTTTAGTAGCGGGACCACCCTGCCCATTTTTCAGGCTTCGGGAACTATGTGGGTGGCTAACGACAAGTTAAGGACTTCGGTTAGATACTCAACTCCTGGTGTATCCAGTTGCTTCAACATTACCATTGATATTCCGTCCGGGTCCAACGCTTTAGATGACTTAGCGTTTCGGATGGCATTCGCAACATCACCCATCGCAAACTGTGGAGGCACATCCTCGGCGGGAAGAGCTCTTATACGACGTAGTACTCTTCGCCTCGCCCTATCACTCTCGGGGTGCTCGACAAATTGGCGGTTAAAACAGCCAGTGCACCTCTTCGGATCAGTCACAGTTACGTCGTTAAATGTGACTGCTGTCCTATCATCCTTTTTTCCAGGGTTCGAGAGTGACTTTACCGTTACCCACAGTTTACTCAAATCGGTTCCAATGTTGCAACACTTCAGATGGTCTAGCCACTTTTTCCGCTTATGCTCCTGTACCAACCGGTTGACTTCCACTGTCAGTTCACTGACTCTGGGATCAGTAGGGTTGGTACGTCGGAGCTCATCACGCCCATTCGCTAATCCCGCTGCCTCTGCTGGGAAATTTGGTCTTACTTCGGGTATTCGACCAGCAGGTATATAGCGAGCGACTGCAGCTTTGATGATGTCCCGGAAAATCTTTTCAACTACTCGAACATCAGAAGGATTGAACAGTTCTCTGAAGCGAAGGTTGGTGAACTCTCTGAACTCAGGCCAGTGGGCTTTCCCATGGTTAAGGAAAGTGCGGCGTTCAGAGGTTATGAAATTGGGCGATCTGCTGATGGAGACGATTATCGGGAGATGGTCTGAGCCAAGAGAAATGACGGGTTGCCAATTCACGTCTTTTATCAGACCGGGTGACACAATGGTTAAATCTGGCGAACTGTGACACTCTCCTCTTATTCGTGTGGGGGCATCCTCGTTTACCGTGCAATCTGCTCTGCCAACGCTGATCCCCTCTGGTCATTACCTAGGACGGAATGCCACAACTCATGATGGGCATTGAAGTCCCCTAGTACCAGGCGGTTAGTGCCTTCCAAAAGTGGACTTATATTAGGCAAGTAACGCGGTTCACAGCTATTAACCGGCAGGATAAACACATTAAGTACCTCTACCTCGGCAGTTCCACACTTGACTGCTACCCCCATACACTCCATGAGTGGGTCACTAGAGACTAGCTCAAGCGAAATAGGTCTGTATTGAACAGAATGGTGTGACAGAAACGCTAATCCCCCACCTCCACTTCTGGTGCGATTTTTCCTCAATGCGTTGTAACCATTGCAACGTTGTAAGCTAAAATTTTCATTGAGCTTGGTTTCCTGCACCGCTGCGATCTTAATATTCCTCTGATTCATAAAATCCACTATCTCATAAATTTTACCTCGGAGTCCGTTGCAATTGAACTGCAAGAATGATGCACTGTCCGGAATTGGAACAGCAACATGTGGCGTTAGGTGCTGCGGTAAATGATGCTGTTCTGGAGACTGCGGGGGAGTTCTATACTCCGACGACGACTCGGAAGTTGACGACGAGGTCGTGAACTCACTGGGGACTATGTTGGTACAGCACGATGCAACATCGCTATAGTCTCGCAACCGGGTTAAACCGGAACAATTCATAAAATGCACCCATCCTCTGCATCCATTACATCGCACCGAGACTGATCTATTATCTTTCTGTTGCGGTGTAAGTTCTTGCACTTTTTGGAATTTCAATGGCTTTACCCGGGCTACGCTACCAGTATCACGATAACGAGCGATGGTACGAGACACAAAAGATTTATTCACATTTAAGTGCTGGAGTGCTCCAACGATAGCCACTTGTGGTTTTCCAGCCAAATACAAAGAAATCACAGAATCAGGCTTGAATTCCATCACGAATTATTTTTTTCTGGAAAATTCTCACCAAAATTCTTCTGCACGCTTGTAAATAATATAATGAGCTGTCACTGGAATAATTTTAACAGCTGTCGAACGAGTGGCTTAGAATATTCAAACAAATTATGTTTGAAGACAAATTTTATAATTTAAATCTAGCTTATTAACAAAAATTGTTTAGAATCATATGATTTTCAATTACACCTCGTGGAAACAAATATAAATTCAGAGAGCAAACAAAGTTATTCGATTACTATAAGTTATAATATTTAGAATTACTAAAGTGATAAAATAATTACATAAGCAACAAAATTACTATAATATTGACATTCTTTTAATTGCTTTTATTAAAAAAGTAAAATAACAATAACAAAAAATCTACTTCTTATCTTCACTAAGGTTTTTTAGAGTTTGTTCAAACTCAACAGGTTCGATGGTACGGTTCGTAGAATCATAAGCTGGAGGACCTATTAAGTTCACAACTTCATCGTAATTAAGAGTTTCTTTCTCCAGTAATGCTTCGGCCAACTACATGTAATAATATTTGTTAAATCGATCAACCGTAATGAGCATGAGATACCTACCTTTTGCAATTTATCACTATTTTCTCTCAGTATTTGCTGGGTTTTTTGATATGCATTAGCTATAATGGATCTAGCCTCCATATCTACAACATCATCAAGGGCCTTTGAATATGGTTTGTAATAAGTTCCCGTTTCTTCCGGATCTTGTATATACATGGGACCAATTTTGTCATTCATGCCAAACTTTTTCACCTACTTATACAATAAAAACGAATTTAAAAAAATAGAAATGTTTGAATTTTGGAATTACCTGGGCATAGGCCATTTTAGTGACTTTTTCCAAATCATTCTGGGCACCCGTTGTTATGCGGCCAAAAGTCAAGTCTTCAGCAGCTCGGCCTCCCAGAGCCATACACATTTTGTCTAACAATTCCTCCTTTGAATACAACTGTTGCTCGCTGGGTGTGTATTGGGCAAAACCCAAAGCCAAACTAGTGCGTGGTACAATAGTAACCTTAAGGAGTACATCGCTCTTTGGGAGTAGCCAGCCGACAAGAGCATGCCCAGATTCGTGATAGGCAATAACTTTGCGCTCAACTGGCGAGAGAGCATGTGAACGCTTTTCTGTGCCCCCTACTAAACGTTCTACGGCGTATTCTAAATTTTTTGTTGTGACTTTATCCTGGCTGTTTCGGGCAGCATGAAGGGCAGCTTCATTGCAAACATTAGCTATGTCAGCACCCGAGAACCCGGGTGTTAAACGGGCCAGGCGATGTGAATACTTCAATGGCTCTTCTTCAAGTTGAACTGAAGATAAATGTTTTTCAAATATTTGTTTTCTTTCTTCGAGATTTGGTAAATCTATGAGTATATGTCGATCAAACCGTCCTGGTCGCAAAAGAGCCTAGAAGGAAAACATTAATGCAATAAATATTTAAATATTCATATCCTACCTTGTCAAGAACATCAGCACGATTTGTGCTGGCCAACATCAGAACACCTTCTTTTGATGCCATACCATCCATTTCCACAAGCAGCTGATTTAATGTCTGTTCAGATTCTCCGGAGCTGCCTTGACTAAAACCTTCCGTGCCAGATCGCTGTCTCCCAATTGCATCGATTTCATCAATATAAATAATACACGGCGATCTCTTGCGTCCCTCTTTGAATAAGTCTCTAACACGTGCAGCACCCAAACCACCAATCATTTCAATAAACTCTGATCCATTCATGCTTAGGAAGGGAACTTGGGCTTCCGTTGCTACAGCCTTGGCTAGCAATGTCTTACCGCAACCTGGCGGTCCAAGTAGCAAAGCTCCTTTTGGTACTTTTGCCCCCAAATGCTGATACTTCTCGGGGTCTTTTAGATAGTCCACAAATTCTTTAACTTCTTGTTTCGCTTCTTGCAAACCGGCAACATCTTTGAAGAGAACACCACGGCCTCCCTCAAATGGATCTACTAATGTAAATTTTGCGCGTCCCATTTGCGTCTGTGATTGCATATAGATAAAAAAAAACAAACGGGGTTTATGTTAATAAATGCACATGGTATCTTGTATTACAGACTCACAAATGAATCCATGCTTAAAGGACTCTTCATGCCCTTCATTCTTGATGAAAGTGCCATGAGTAAGCCTACAAATAACAAGAGTAACAATATCCGTCCAGTGACATCACTTTGTCTATCATATGTTACAGGAACGCCTGAAAATATAAAGAAATATTTCATTGTTTGCCCAGAATAAAAATATGTTATAAACAGAAGTATGTATCTAATAAAATGACCGATTTCTGGATCCATAAAATAAAAAAGAAAGAAAGTAACCTCACTTAGTAGGTCTGATCTAAGAATCGTTGTGAGCATATTGACTGGTCACTGACCTAGAGATCAGATATCTGGTGGGAGATATAAATTCTAACGTTCTTCTCAGACATATATCCCATTATCAGTTACAAGTTTACCAAAGCCATTTCCTGTGTAGACAGACCATCATACTCACTGCACCTCTCTCTATATATCGTTTCTTCTTCTCTATCCCCAAATTTATTTCTTCTTCCTAGGATTAACACAATGGACCAACAAAGGTCTCCGAGTGAAGCAATTACCGAATTCGAGTAGCTGCACATCCTTAAACCAAACCAAGATGTGACTATTATATACTGTAATCCTACATTTACAACCTCATTCGAAAATTATTCATATTGCTTACCATCGGAAATACCCAGTCGTTTCTCCACATCCCTAAGTTTTTCTTCAAATTTTGAGACGTCTGCGACTGACATGTGGAAGATTGTCGAAGAAACCTTTCGCCCCTTCACTATGGCCCCGTCGTGGAGGATTATCGTTACCATTTCCATATCGGGACGTATGATTAATTCTTTCACCTCACCAACAGCCAACATGTGGTGCACAAATTCATTCCATGAAACATATCGCGTGGACCCCTACAACAATATTTAATAATCTTCAAGATTTTGTCAATTTTTAACAACTGAATTGATACATACCTCCGGACGCTCTGTGCGAGGGGATAAAATCAATGAAATGAATGCCACAAACATGTAGATGGTAAACATCCACATTACAGTCTTGGTCAGAACGGATTTCACCTTTTCATCATTGTCGTTTTTGTTTCCATTTGGACCATTTCCTGCAGAGCCACCACCACTCGTGTTACCTGTTGGTTCAGTAGGTTTGCCTCCATCTTTTTGACTGGGATTTGGTTTAGAACTGGAACACAGTCCCAGGTGAAACTGACGCACTGTCTGGGGACTAACTCCCAAAGATCTGGATATTAAACCAACAACCGCTTTGTATTCCAACTCGAATTGTTTCAACTAAGTGTGCATCAAATCACAGTAAATAATTACGTATAAGAATATACATGCATATGTACGAATATTTACCTTTTTACCGGTCAGTAGAGTGGATATATATTTCGGTCTGCATAGAGGCAATTGCAAATAATTACTTCTACTTACAAGACCATTTATATTTCGAATATTCTGCACAGTTTTCCACATAACTTCAACACATAACAGGAAAATAGCCTATTTGGGGTGGAAAATTTCATAAACGACGATAACCCTATGAATTTCACAAATTTTGGCAGCCGCTCGTCAGCTGATAATTAAATGTCATAACATCCCTTAAGGCTTGCGAAGCGTACGGCAACCTCGTATAGAGCTGCCACCATGGCTGCCACTAACTCAAAAATAGCAATACGGCATGTTTCCATTTGTATTCGAACAATGTTGCTCGCTCTCAGCAACAACCCGTTCACATTACACCACACTCATGGTAATATAAATCTTTTTGCTTCCTTGCATGGTAGAAGAATACAGGTAAATGCTTAAACGTTTGGGAACATTTATAATTCAAAAATTTTGAAATGTTTTTTTTTTTTTTTCAAATATAAGTAGATTTTGATATGTTTTCTTATACGACGCCAATCGGAGGTTGTTATGATATAAATTTTCCAACAATTTTAAAGAATTTGAATAATTTTTCGTTCAAAATTTTCAATTCAAAATTGGTTTGACAGTTCATTGTCCCAGTGTCGATGCAACTATTGTTTACGAGTTTACCGGAGGCAATTTTTATCGTTTGCTTTTGAACTAGCCACTTGCTTTCATACAAGGCAATCATTTTCAGCAATTTTCTTTGTTATCATTGCCATTTTTAATTATAGTCTATAAATAAAAGAAAGTTGTGTTAGTTACTACGCTTATAACTCAAGAACCGTTGGTCTGATTTCAACGTTTCAGACAAATTCGGAATTGTTTCTTGGCAGAAAAGAATGAAATCCAAAAAAATTGCGTAAATATGTGAAATTTGTAATTTTTCATTTTGACTTTTGATATGTACAATCATAATCTATATATATAAATGAAAGTTGTGTTAGTTACTACGCTTATAACTTAAGAACCGCTGAACTGATTTTAATGATTCATACAAATTCGGAATTGCCTCTTATCCGAAAAGGATAATATCCAAAAAAATCGCGTAAAAATGTGATATGTTAACATTTTCATTTTGACTTTTGAAATGTACAATAGTAATGTTTTATTTTGCATGATTTTTTCCATTTTGACTTACTTTTTTCTAATGTACATTTGTAGTGTTTTTTATATTTTATTTTTGAATTCGAATATTAATACCAATTTATTTAATTGACTTGATTTCTTGAGAACTGAAATTGATAACGGGTTACATGGAAGTGTAGTACCGAATTATGTGGTGGCGAAACGGAATAGATGATACCGAAATAATTTAATGCGGTCACACCAAAGTTAAAAGATAATTACTTTTTCAAAATCGTTAAAAAGAAACACGAAAAAAGAGATCTCATTGCAACAATTCTCAAAACGGGAAAATATCGAAAAAAAATTCCAATGGAATTGAATTTTAAAATAAAAGTACATTCTATTGACAAACTTTGTAAGGATCTTTTAACAGTTGATGTAAAAAATCAGCGAACAAGTTGAAGATTTTTTCAATATGTTATTCTTCTTTTGTAAATTTTTTTCAATTTGTAATATCATATTGAATTCAGTGGATTTTTTGTGAACAAAATAAAGAATAATTTTTCACTATATACAATTTTTCACCAAAAAAAAATTAAATAAGTGCGAAATATGATATTAACTGACATCTACCTTTTAACTCCAAGGCCTACATCGTGGTTCAGCTGGAAGATACGAACACATTTAAACAAACACAAATGACCGAAAAAGACTAATGGAGCTCATTTCAAAGCGTGGAACTACTTCTTTCATGTGACAATAATCCGTCCAATGAGAGCTCAAAATGCAAAATTCTTTGGGAGTACAATCAGTAAAATACCAAATATAAAGGGTGCAAAATAGTAGAGCGAATGGGACTTTTAGTAAGAAGAGGATTTCTATCCGTCCAGAAATTCTTCCCAAACATTCTAGATACCTTAAATCGCTTTTGCAGGTCATGATATCGATCTTAACTCACTGATAAGGGTACAACCCGATTTCATCTATTATTTAGCTATTTTTTGAGTCTTGGTCACTTTTTTCATTTTTGGCCCTTATTTGGCATCTTTGTTTCTAAAGGGGTAGAGAACCTCTTCGAATAAAATTTGAAATTTTCAGAGTAGGGCCCATATTGGTCTTAACCACATTCATCAATTGATTTGGCTAAAAAATTGTGTTTATGCTACCCTGGAGTAGGGAACCATCATACAGATAATTGCCACATAGGAATTTATTTTAGTAAAGTCCCCACATTGGAGTATCCCCAAGTCCACTTTCACATCTATTGTGTGGTCAAAAAATAAAATTTTGCATTCTATTGAATTTGTAACCCCCAAGAGAATATTGATTGTGAACGTAGATTTGGGATGTATATCTGTATGAAATAAATTGTGAAAACATGAACAAATTACAAATATAAGAAAGTAACACGGGACCGAATATTTGTTGAATCGTCATTAAATTATACTATGCTGAAAAATATGGACTCCAACTTACAATTTAAATGGCAAATAAAATTAATTCCCATCTTACGGTAATGGATGTAAAATAGCTATATTTTTGATTTGGCCTCTATTTGTCATCTTGGATTATAAGGGGTGAAGAAAGTTTTCAATGTAGGTCGATGTTTCGCATTTTACCATATTTCAAAGGATTTGGCTAAAAATGAGTGTTTGGGGATGAAAATCTTACACAAAAATTTCAACATATCTACAAATTTTAGGATTTTCTCCATGTAATAGTATCCCCTCAAGTCCACCTTTTGGCGGACAAACAGACCGACATGGTTAGGGGGACTTATGAGGACTCTAATGCACAATCTGAGGTGCTAATGGGTTCAAAAAAGTAATTAACTTTGCCTATTCTTAAATCAATTAGCCCTCAATTACGAGTTGTACAAAGTACAGTAAATTCCAAATTACTGCTCATTTGACTAAAAATTAAAAACTAATCGACCAGTACGTGAACATTTATAACATTCATATCTTTGAATAATCATGCTTTGACAAATATGCATAATAGACAAAAACTATGGGCCGGCAACGCGGACCGGGCCAGCTAGTGTTTTATATTGCATGTTTTTTTTTTACATTTTCACTTACTTTTTACGAATGTACATTCGTAATGTTTTTTTTTTTTTTTTAATTTATTATGATGTGTAGTCTTTTTGGGTACTCCCCAAGCGACAACAGACAAAACTGTTATTTATAGATTTCATGAATTTATTGGGTATAAAATCATTTCAGAATATAATAATCTTTGAAAAAAATCAATATTTTATCATGCACGTGCGGTTTTTTTTCAATTTGACTAACTTTATTTAATTGCCTCGATTTATGGAAAACTGAAACTGCAGGTGGGTTACATTGAAGTGTAGCACCGAATTATGTGGTGGCGAAACAGAATACATGATTTCAAAATAATTTAACGCAGTCGAATCAAATTTAAAGGATCCTTACTTTTTTAAAAATTGATAAAAATCACAAAAAAGAGACTATCTCAATGCAAAAAATCTAAAATCGGGGAAAAAATCGAAAAAATGTTTCAATGGAATCGAATTTTAGTTGAAGTTCGTAATAGATACTACAGCATAAGGCAGAAAATGGGTCATGTAGATCCACGTCTTCGTATAGCCTCAATAAAACGGTACCTCCCGATATCGGGTATTTTGATGATTTTAGAGACATTATTTACCGGAACTATTTCAAATTTGGTATTTGAAGTTCGTAATGAATGCTACAGCCTATGACAGAAAATGGTATGTCTTCGTATAGCCCCCATATAACGGTATCCCTCGATATTCGGTATTTTGATGATTTTAGCGACATTATTTAACGGAATTGTTCGTAATGGATACTACAGCCTATGACAGAAAATTGTCTGTGCAGGTCCATGTCTTCGTATAGCTCCCATATAATGGTATCCCTCGATATTCGGTATTTGGATGATTTTACCGGAATTGTTTCCAATTTGGTATTTAAAGTTCCTAATGGATACTACAGCTTAAGACAGAAAATTGTCTGTGCAGGTCCACGTCTTCGTATAGCCCCCATATAATGGTACCCCCGATATTCGGTATTTTGATGATTTTAGCTACATTATTTACCAGAACTATTTAAAATTTTGTATTTGAAGTACGAAATAGATACTACAGCCTATGCCAGAAAATTGTCTGTGCAGGTTCACGTTTCATAACATGGTACGTTATAAACAGATTTATTTTCAAGTTTCGCATTTGAATATGGTAATAGCTTATGACAAAGTTGCCTATGCAGGTCCAATAAAAAATTATTTTCACCATATAAAAAAAAGTTATGTTAGTTACTACGATTACAACTCAAGAATGCCTTGGCCGTTTTGACAATTCATACAATTTTGGAATGGTATCTTAGCATTTGGTATATTATCTCGCGAAAATGTGCCAATAAAAAGGCGAATGAAAAAAATATTTATGGTGTGAAATTTTCTCAGTTTAGCATACTATCATGGTACTATGAAATAAAGCCTGGTAGAAGAATATAGGTAGATGCATCAATGCTTGGGAACATTGATATGTCAAAATTTTTAAAATGTGTTATGAAAAATAAGTGGATTTTTAAATGTTTTTTATCAGAGGTTGTTATAATATGAAATTTTACATGGTAGAACTAAGAAGGTAAAGTCATGCAATAATATGTTTCCAATTTTTTCATAATTGTCCATTTGACAACATCTCATTGTCAAAATGATTTTGACTGACTTTTTTGTATACAAGGTGTCAGTAATGGTTCAAAAATAAATATAAATTCAAAACAAAAACTTTATATTTAAATTTGAAAATATGAGAACGTATTTTCTTTCAATAGATATTTTTAATCCGAGGAAGAAAATAAATCCCAAGCATGTGGCTCTTACAATTTTGGAGGAGGAAATTTCTGTGTGAAGACCGCCTTTTAACTTCGGATATTGTTTATTATCCAGTTCAACACATGTGAAGATGGGATATGTGTTGTTGTGAATGCAGACGTACCGGGATGTGCGAAGTTAAATAGGAATAGGTTGATTATTTTGTATTTTGGGTAATAGGGTTATAAGTATTCAAAATTTTGATCCGTTGTGGTGGAGGCAAGAGAAAGAGTGGTCCGTTCTATATGT